TTTCCAGTTTTATAACGAGACTCTGATTACTCATAACCTCACTATGACTATAACGCAACATGCGCATGCAACCGAGCAAACTATGACTAAGCTATTCGAAAACGGCGACGGTGTTCAGGTTTCCTGCAGAGGGTATGATGATTTCATTGCGAAGTGAATGATTCATGACAATCTGAATATAAGCGTTCACCTCTCTTAGTACTGAAACATTCTCTCAGTCTTCCTAACCAGCGAAGCATATTTTATACCGTTCGTGTTTTCTTAGCGTCTTAACCGATTACCATAAGGTATAACCGATTACCATAAGGTATAACACTAAAAGCATCACAAAATTACAAATACGGCGAAAGATTATAAAATCAGGAGTTAGACCATAGAAAGCATGAGCTCAAAAGGTAAATAATTATCTTTATATGTTAGCATATGAAAGTCAGCATGCAACCCCCGCCAGACAGCAGCTTAACCCTTAAACTTCAACGTTCGGTCATCTTTACACTTCTAGATTTCCGAAAGTCTATTAGATGCAAAGGTACTGCTTAACATGCCAGCACTCAACGTTGCAGATAATAGTTATTGAAGTGTACCATAACGTAAACGGCACATGTTGATGCACAAAGGTTCATGCTGATACAATTCGTAGATGACTTGAAGGTGATAGGTTTTCTGATTCCATGATTGGCAGCAGAAAAATTAAAAAGGTAGTTATGTTTACAAGAAATTCGACGTTTCCACCGAATTGGCATTGGTCGATATCACAGAATGGTGACCTGATGATAATCGATACGAGTTCGATCGACATGTTAAAATAAAAATATTTTCTCGCTTCTCATGCTGTCAGCTATGGAATCAGAAAATCTATCACTTGCTTTGTACCATGAAAGGTAAAAAAGTTTCAAAATTCCTAATGGCTATGTCGCGATCACGCGATTGTCCATAACGGAACATTCCTTGCAGCTTAGCAAGACAAAATTGAAAACATTGCGATTCATTAAATCAGAATTATGTAAAAATTAGCCACCTGACCAGCACACTCAGCTTTGTAAATATTTGGAATAAGTGGAAAAGCCAAATAATTCATAAACAGATGTCGCATAAATATGTTGTGAAGATTGAATCGCTTCACGTGTTCCAGGTCAAACTTGAATTCTTTATGGGAGTGGGAAGTCTTTGATTGCTATCTTCAAAGGGTTTACAACAAATATAAAGTTGCAACTAAATTAACATCATAAGCAGCTCATACGCCCTACTCTGTAAAATAACGAACAACTCCTCCAAGATCAGATCTCACGACATATTACACCGTATCTCTTCCTAATTGCACATGGGAACAACTTAGGCAGGACACGGCTTCATGATATTTAAGGAAATGTGGTGCTAAATGCAATTCGCATCTCTAGAGCCATAAGCTAAAGCCGTCCCACTCTCAACATGAGCAATGCTTCTTTAGCTTGTACTATTTATATGCCACAGGATAAACATCGAAACATATTCCTAGACTGAAATATGTTAGACAATGAAGCTGCAACATGTATAAAACGATAATTTAAGAAATAATCTGTTGGGAAGTAACTCCATCGATCAGACTGATGTAATATTTATATGGCACTCAAGGAGCCAGGTAGTGTTCATTATACTGGCACAGAGCGAATACCTGCAGATTAGCATT